AAAGAGATTAACTATCAATTGCTCGAGAAGAAATTTCTTTACTGTAACATTTATTTTATCTTTTCGAAATTATTGTCAAAATCAGAAAAAAAATATAACCAAACAAATGCTGATTTCACAATTTCAACACGCCCTGATATCGTGACGTGCAACATCATCGACCGATCCGCAAGTATCTTTAGATACATTCATCTTTCGCACACATGTATCGATTCAACAACAACGACCGCGCCTGACTTGATTACCATTAATGAAATTTCTCACGAAACGAACGTCGCTGACTCGTTCTCATTATTCTCGCGCGCGATCGTACTGGCTTCATTCATCTCGAAGTAACGATCGAACTGGCCGACGCTGCGTCTATCGATCGATCGCCGTTTTATCTGGTCGAATTGCGATTTCGCCGAATCCGAGTTACGTGCATACGTCCGACCCCATTGCCCGAATCGATCCTAATTGACGAGCAATTCTCGTCGCCGGCGACTTTAACTGAAACGTGCCGGTATGCAACGAAGAGATACAGCATCACCTCCCCCCCTCCACCGCGGTTCCTCTTTTTACTTCCTCCCTCGTGCGTTACGTAAAGGCCCACTTAAGATCCAGCTAATTCAGCTCGGCGGAATAACCGTGAATAATTATGCGAGTGATAATCCCATTAGGCGTGAAATAGGTCCTATCCTATCCTATTTTTTGAACGAGGCCCGGCTCGAGTTTCGCGATACTTCTCAGGGAAATTTCGCGAGCTTCGAGTACTCGAGCGCTTGCAGAATTACGGTGGTTGATATTTCACGTATGACAGGAGATTATTTCCATATACTTTTAGAGAAAATAAGATGGAACAAGATAAAATAAATTGAACGGAGACGACGTTCTTACCTTTCGTTAATACGGAGTGAGAGCCAAAAGTTACTTCTCACCTCTTTTTTTTTTTTTTTAATAAAACATCAAAATATAAAAGAAAAACTAATTTTATTAATTTTAAATTAAACTTAATTCAAAAGAAGAAGGTAAAAAATAAAAAATTAATGTATAATAATATAAATATAAACATAGTAAAAGAAATACGGATTTATTTATTTAGAAAGTGATTTTTGATCCAGAGATTGTTGTAGAAACTCAAGTTCGATAATAAATACGTGTGTACTATTTACATGTAAATTTCATTTGCGTAATTATATAATGCCACTGGCTTCGAAAAGATATCGGCAAATATCTTAGAATTCTTCCCCGAGTTTCAAGCGTATCTCGACAACTTCCATTGCAACATCTTCTCGTAAATTCCCTGTAAATTGTGGTGACTCTTGCCGAAAAGAAAAAAAAGACGTGTCAATTGCGGCAAAGTTAACGAACGGCCGCACCGATTCCTCGTCGAAGGGAACGCTTTAATCCCCGGCTGCAATTACCAGTGGCAGAGGATAACAACCGGTACGATAAATATCTATCATAACCCGGTTGTTGATTTCGTAATATCGAGGCCGGCCTCAATAGGCTCCTTTAATCTCTCGACGTTTCTTTCAAGAGATCGTAAATAACGCTCGACGTTTGCCCTACCTAATTCCTCGTTCGCGCGTTTTTACTTCGGCCTTCTTCACATCCCTTTTCTCCCTCTCCTCCCTCGTCAAACGGCACGTACGTGTGCGAGCGAGCGCGTGCAACGAAACACGACCTTAAACGTAACGCAGTCGCGTTTTGATCGCTTCAATTTTAATGGACTGTAATCCGCCATCTCGAGAGTCATTCCAGCGGCCGTTTCAGATCCATTAAGTGCACTTTCCAATTGAACTTTTAAACCCACACCCACCCGTGTTCTCGCTGTTTAGACACGCATCAGGGTTTGCGCAGCTGGTTTATTGGATTATTGCGCGAGCACGCGAACGAGCGCGCGGTCTCCTCGTTACCGCGAACCATTTTGCGAATTAAAGCGATGCCACGGACAGCGTTGGAGGTTACGTTGCAACGAGCGCAACCCTCTCTTCTTTTCTCTCTCTCTCTTTCTCTTCCTCGCTTTCTCCACCACTTTTGTTTCTGTGTTCCCTTTGTTTCGTTGATTGGAACGATTGAACCGCTTCTCGTGCCACGACGAAGCGATCGGCGCCGAAGATTTATGCTCTCGCCTGTTGCCACGATTCGAAGATTACGGGCAATGTTGATTTCTTGTTACTGTTGCGGAATTTTTGATCATTCTTAGAGATCAATGTTAACACGGGCTATAATAAATTGCTGTTGGACAATTATTTCAATTCTATTGGCGACAAAATTATAACATAATGGTCAAAATGGCCAATTTTTATTTAGGAACTTTATACGTGCGTGTGTTTTTATTTTAAATCATTTTATGCACGTGTATTTTCAGAAATTTAAATGATTTTTCGTAAAAAAGCTCGTGCACTCCGTATTTGTATTTTATTTAAAGTTCTTCTATTGTTCTCACTTTGACGATGGAAATTCTATACTCTAGTTTTGTCGACAGCTTTAATGTTGAATGATGAAAGAAATTTATAAAAATATCAAAGTCAATACGTTGTAAGAATATAGGAGTTCGTTGAATTTCACAAATTTGCAACAATTTTACATTAAAATTCACCAGCGTCTTGGATCAACAATACACTGCACTAAAAGTATTCCGATATACTCTTAAACGAACATCGAAACGATAAATCCCAGATAATTTGATTGTGAATGAAAGGGGAAAGGCACGAAACGTGTGGTTGTCGCCACAGTGATTGATTTTTATCACGTCTCGATTAATTGGAAAATTACAATTTACCAGAACTCGTTGGATCGGTGAGAATTGCACGATGGCCGTGGGGATGTTCCAGCCAATTTGTATGCTGATCAGCGACCCTTTCGGAAATTGATATATTACCAAATTGGATATCTCTTCATCGTATTGCGAATCAAGCGTGTTGATCAGCGTCGCGTGCAATTATCTGCCAGGTGTAATATTTGACAGCTACCTGTGATGATACCCTTTCCTTTCGGTTTCCGAATTTTTCACGTTTGTTATTAAATCGTTGATAAATTACTGATATTACACTGTCGACGTAACATTATTAGAATAACATGCGGATAATTTATAGGACGAATAATTAAATGTATTACACGTTATAAAATAGTAAGAGAAACAAATCTTTGCTCAAGTGTGATATTTTTAGTTAGCAAGCCTGTCTTACTTGAACTTCTATTTACTCCGAATATCTCAATATATGAATGTTACATTACTAAATAGAATAAGATATCTACTAGTCACATCAGGGATCGATGAAATTAAGGAGCTTTTTAAACAGATCCTATTTAATACTTGTTTCAATGGAATCTTTATTATACAGATTCTATTTCAGGGGAACATTATTCAAAAGTGTTCCCAAGTGTAACACTTGTTTCTATAAAAATTCCAAGAGAACAGATATTTCTTTCACACAAAATATATATAAATTCGAACGGAATTCTTTTCGAAACAAAAAGAACCGACAACTTTTAAGCGAAAAATAGATAATTTCATAGTTACCAACGGGCGCTATTTAAAAAAAAAAAAAAAAGAATAGATGTCGATATAGCCGACGGTCGAATCAAAATTACCATTCCAGTTTCCACTGACTTTCGCAAGCACAAAGCATCTAATAAAAGAGTTCCGGCCGAGGTTGTGCAAAAAGCGAACGATATCTACGATTCCGGCGATAAAGCAAGTGGAAACGAGGTCGCGCGACGCTATCAGAAGGCGGAAACAGAATTTTTTCACGGGAAGAGCCGCGAGCGAGCTGACGAAAGAACGATTCCCGGTGAAACACGTTGTCGTGGCACGCGTTCGCCTGGCAAGCAACCAACGCCAGCGCGAAAAGAAAGAATGAAAAGAGAACGTGGTGTGCCACCTCGGAACAAGGCGGCCATTCACATCGAGCCGCCTGTAATTAACGTCAGCTGCTATAGGCAGCCTCTGAGTACCTCCACTTACGCGCCTCGGCGCCGCGGCTCACTTCGCGTCGGCGTATTTACACGCTTGTAAACACGACCCTCCTTTTTTCCTCTCCCTCTCTCTCTCTCTCTCTCTCTCTCTCTCTCTCTCTCTCTCTCTCTCTCTTTCTTTCACAGACTAGCCGTTTCGCGGTTTTATAGGATCGTGACGACAGCTTCGATCCATGAGATAATTTCGAGACGTGGCGCAAAGAGCCTGGAAAGAGATTCGAAGTCCAGGCAACTATGAGATCGATTGTTCGAACGCGTTTAGGGTGATGGACTCGTCGATTCTGCAGGTTATTTTGAGACTTTAAAAGGGGAAAGTGGGAAAACAAGCTTCTTTGATTCGAGTACACCTTTGGAGAGATGTTTCATCCGTTTATCATTTCGGCTTTCGATGAGTCATTGAGTGAGAATTGATATCCAAGCTAAACTATGTCGTACCGAGTCTCCTATCAATCTTCTTTTCCGTTCGAAATTTATGAAATATCGATCGGAAAAGATCCTCTTTTCCATAGATTTCTGACATTTCAAACTAACTCTTTTGAGTTAGTTCACTTTCATGGAACACACAATGATCTCAAACTTTTCATTGGCAGTGATAGATGTGTATCTTTTACCGCAAAAACCGATGTGAACGAGCAATGTATCGTCATGATTTCGCAATAATGGAAAATGATATATGCAACGTTCTATCCTGCTGTTGAAAACGTGAAATTACTAAAATCAACTAGGATCATCCCTAAGGCATTACGAAATCGCTGTTACGTCGCTGTGACATTTATCACAACGTGTAGATCGTAAATTAATACGTAATGAGTGTCTATGACATAGATACGATGACATTTATCATAACGTTTAGATCGTAATTTATCATATTATGACATTGATCATAACGTGTATACCGTATAGATTAATATGTAAAAATCTAGAGTAATCGCTCTAGTCGAAAGTTGCTCATAGTCGGCAGAATTTTCCCAAGAGGGAAGCTATTACCAGCCAGCTTTCACCAACCAATTACGCTCACGTTCGTTTTAATTTTCCAGGCCGAACGTGTGCAGGTCAAAATACAAGAATTACTGTTGCCCCGGTTGGTCGAAGAAGCCCGAGACCGGCCTCTGCGTAATTCGTAAGTACAGAAAATTTATGGCCCGTACATATCTCGAATCGAGGCTCGATCATTATCGAAACCTTCCCGTCCGGTAATTGGAACGTGATCTCACGAGCTCGAGTACATTCAATTTTAGCGTTCATTATCGAAACGGCCGAGCTGAAAGGAGCATCGCGATCATCGGGAGGCGCGCGCGAGCGCGTTCGCGACGAGTAATTGCATCTATTGCGCAACCAGCAAATGGGTGTTCATGCGACACGACCGATCGACTTCTCCAACAAAATTACTTTAATGGCCTGTTACACGCTTCCTGTTGATCGCATTGTCTCCACGTACGACGCTTCTCCACGTAGCTAGCGTGGTTGCGCGCCGATGGTTGGTCGCGATACTCGTCTCGAATTCAAATTTCAAATAGGCTTCCAGCCCTGCAACGAAATCTGCGCATCCGCGAAGAGAAACGAAACAATTTGTAGAATCTTCGCCTTCGATTTTAAGGACTTCTCAGAGGTGTGAAATATTATAAATGGGCAAAGTTTTAACCGCTTGCGCTGGCAACTGATTGCGGACCATAACGAGTGACCGAACCGTGTACAATAAAATTTGTCGCTTTCTTTTTAAACTCGTCGGAACGATATCGCTGGATAGAAATTATTGACAAGTAATAAATTTATTATTTGTTTCGCCCATTTTGTTTTACTCGAATATACTTAGAAACTGAGAAAATATATTACAATTTTGGGAGAAAAAAATTCTCGACGTACGTGGCACGCCATCCCAGCGCGGGATGTTAAGGGAGATTTTTAGAACTCTGTCTCGACTGAGAAGTGAAGAGTTTGCTAATGAAATAATATAATAATGATTTATGAGACGAAGAATGTAAGAGAAATGTCGATGTTCCTTTTTAGCTGTATGTATCAAACGATGCGGCCCGTTGGGCAGATGTATCAGGCCAAATATTTGCCTGTGCGAGGGTGGCACGGTAGCGTCGTCTTGCAGCAGCAGTCAAACCAAAGGTGAATACATATATATCTTATTAATTTCAGAGAGAAATGTTTGCGGCAACGATAAAGAGAATATTTAAATTGTATTCACGTTAGAGAAGAAAGAAAATAGTATTACCACGTTCGAGAAGAAGATGATACGATTTTTATTTGACTTCGATTACTGAGAAATGCACCAGTCTCCCTGTTGCAACGCAAACATACTTCAAATGTAAATTCCCGAGAAACGTAATAATCCCGTGTCCATTCTCGCAGTTACTACGTACGAAACTGGCAATGCGGTAGACAGGAGCGAGTCTGGAAGATGCAGAGTGCATTGCATAAATGGCAACTGTGTGGATGGCAAGTGTCAGTGTCGCAGTGGATACCAGGGCGAATTCTGTAACGAACGTGAGTCGAACGAAAATCTATCATCTCGCCTAATTTCTTAGAATAATAACGCATTGGAACGCAACTCGTGACCTCATCGTCCATTTAAAATAGCAATTTGTCGAGAGCCGTGCTTGAACCAAGGAAGATGCATCGGTGCAGATCGTTGTGCGTGCATCTATGGTTACACTGGCAGACGATGTGAAACAGATTACAGGTAATTACGCTAGGTCCTCCCCGACTAGTTCGAGAGGAGTAACTTCGTCAATGTTCCTTTTTCTGCTCTCTTTCTCTCTTTCTCTCTATCTCTATCTGTTCAGAACTGGACCGTGTTATACGAAAGTGAAAAATGGCCAGTGTTTGGCGAATCTTCAGGGTGTCGTTTGCACGCGACAGTTGTGCTGCGCTACCGTGGGTAAGGGCTGGGGCCATCCCTGCGAGAGGTGTCCCGCCAGGCTGGACTGCGAGCTGGGTCACTTGAAAACTAACCAGGGGCAGTGTGTTGGTAAGTGATCGCCATTTTATCCAAATTCGTATTTCCATGAAATGAGTGACAGGATACATTTTTAATCGTCTACTGCATATATTACAACGAGCATCTTACTTTCTTATTTTGAAAGTGGTTCATTTCCCGAAGTTCATTTCCCCCCTCCCAAAATCAAGCTTGCTGTTTCAATATTTCTACGTTATCATTTTTAAACAAATTGCAACTAATACATTCAAAATTAGTAACATTTTGTACACAAAAAATTAGTTGCTGGAATTATAAATTACGAAATATAATTTGAACGTAACATTTCTCTAGTAGTGAATAAAAGTTGGATATTTTTTAATTTTATAACACAAAATTGTATATATGTTTTTTTTATTTTAGGAGAATTTTATTCTTTTCAAGGGATTTATGCTTTTTTATAAATTAAAAAAGTTACTTCATTAATTTTGAAAGTGGCTTAAGTTTATAACATCCATCAAAAACGTATCATACTAATTGAGTTAGTAAATTATACACCCTCAGAAACACGAGAACACTATACTACCATGTTGCCAATATTTTTTAATTTATTAAAACGCAAACCGTTATATATCTTGATTTAAAATTAAATAAACTTGCTAAACGATTCATTTATTTACTCATTTATTTATTTATTTACTTGTTAATATATTACAATTATATTGTAATTGAGTAAACATAAATGTGTCTACTGATTGAAACATTGTGACAGATGTTACTTAAGGAGTTTTAGTTGTGTATCACTGTCGATCAGATATCAACGAGAACACTATACTACCATGTTGCCAATATTTTTTAATTTATTAAAACGCAAACCGTTAAATATCTTTATTTAAAATTAAATATACTTGCTAAACGATTCATTTACTTACTTATTTTTTTTTATTTATTAATATATTACAATTATATTGTAATTGAGTAAACATAAATGAGTCTACTGATTGAAACATTGTGACAAATCTTACTTAAGGAGTTTCAATTGTGTATCACTGTCGGTCAGATATCAACGAGTGCGAAGCAATACCAGGCTTATGCGAGGGTGGAAAGTGCGTGAACACGCCAGGCTCGTTCACCTGCGAGTGCCCCGACGGTCAAGCCAGAGATCCTGAGACGAACGCTTGCAAGGATAGAGACGAATGCCAGGAGGAAGGGATATGCGTAGATGGACGATGCGTAAATACAAATGGTGGCTACTACTGCCTTTGCAACCCGGGATTCATCCAGAGCCAAGATCGAAAATTCTGTATTGGTGAGAACTACGATCGATTTACAAATCACTTGCTTGTCCAATCATAAAAAACATAATTTACAACAAGAATAACGTCTTTGCAAAATATAAAACGAGAAATTTCGCGAATGATTGTCATTAACCACTTGCGCTGGCAACTGATTGCGGACCATAACGAGTGACCGTACCGCACACAATAATTTGTCGCTTTCTTTTTTAACTCGTCGGTACGATATCACTGGACAGAAATTATTGAAAGGTGATAAATTTATTATTTAATTTACTTACTTCTGTTTTACTTAAATATACTTAAAACAGAAAACATTACAATTTTGGAGCAAAAAATTCTCGACGTGCGTGGCACGTCATTCCAGCGCAAGAGGTTAAAATGAACAATAGAATCAGAAGAAGAAAAAAAAAACATTTTGAAACGATAAAACGATCAAATTTGCTAACGAGGAAATTTCACCATTGCAAAAAAAAAAAAAAAAAAAACATCCACAGATGGAAGACAGGGTCTGTGTTACACGTCGGTGAACAGAAACGGGCAGTGCAAGAATCGGCTGGCGGTGAGACTGAGCAAAAAGGATTGTTGCTGCGGCAAGAACATGGGCCGCGGTTGGGGTGACGAGTGCTACATCTGTCCGAATCCCGGAAGCGGTACGTAGAAGTCAGGCAGAAATGCCAAACGATACGAAAATACGAACAGGCTCGCGACAAAATAAGTAAAACGTTCGAGTGGAACGTGCGTGGATATAGTCAGACGGGCGAAGGGCGCGGGTGAAGCGTTTCGTTGGAACGGCGAGTAACAGGATTCGTGTTATTACTCAATTATAGACGATTACAACAGGCTTTGCTTGCTACAACTGCAGCCAATCACCGTGATAAACGAGTGTGCACTGAGGCCGGACATTTGCGGAAACGGCAAGTGCATAGACACGAGGGACGGATACGAGTGCGACTGTTATTCCGGGTTTACGAAGAAGGCAGGCAGGTGCGAGGACATCGACGAATGCCTGCTGGGATACTGTGAAGGCGGTACCTGCCAGAATTACGAGGGAAGTTACACTTGCCAGTGTCCGCCGGGATTCGTGGTTGCCGGTGAAGGCAGATATTGCACGGGTGAGAGATTTAAAGGAGAAAATTATTTGTACACTTCAATTCGAGAGTATTTTAATATCTGTGGTGTGTGTGATAAAACTTTTAAAGTGTATCAAGTTATATTTCATTATTACGTTGACACTTTGCAGATTCTCTTTTGTATAAAATATCGTTCAATTTTTAAACAAACTTGTTGCTCCCGAATTTAGGTAGGGTTTAATTTCTTTCACGTACTTAGAGTACCGAGAGTCTTAGTCCAATTTTAATATCTGTGGAATATAATAAAGTCAAAGTGTACTGTATTTATATATATATATATATAATAAAAAATATATATAGAGTACCGAGAGTCTTAGTCCAATTTTAATATCTGTGGAATATAATAAAGTCAAAGTGTACTGTATTTATATATATATA